TAAATTTTAAAGGAACCGTTTTGCGCGTGTAAGAAATTATGTGACACTTGCTTATGTTCAAATCTAATTTATTAATCGTACAATATCTATCAAAATGTTTAAGGTCTTCTTGTAGATGTAGGCAGTCGCTTATGTCATGTACTCTAGCCAATATTTTCATATCGTCAGCAAATAACAAGATAGTAGAGTAGTGGAAATACGACTTTATATCGTTTATAAAGATAACAAACAATAGAGGACCCAGGATCGATCCCTGAGGAACACCAGAGGGTATCCGATGCCAGCATGAGATATATCCTTTAAGGGTCACAGCCTGAGTTCTGTTGTTAATATATGATGAAAACCATCGAAAAAGGTTGCCATGAATACCGGCCAGTTGTAATTTTTGAAGAAGTATCAGATGGTCAATTCTATCGAAGCATTTACTATAATCCGTAAATATGGCATCCACCTGATCACCCATATCCATAGCTGAGGAGATATATTCATTACTTGAAAGTAAATTGGTTACTGTGGATCGCCCTTTGATAAAACCATGTTGATCTATGATAAAGGATTTGTTAAGTGCATGATAGAGTTGCCTGTGGACAATTTTTTCCAAGATTTTAGCAAAATGACATAATTTAGAGATAGGCCTAAAGTTTTCAATTTGCGATTTTGATCCTTTTTTATGTATAGGAACTATGTATGTTTTTTTCCATATATCCGGAACGATACCTTCTCTTAGCGATCTTTGGAATAGAATGGAAAGTGGTAAACATAAACTCTTAGCACAGCGAGCAATCAGCAACGGGGATACATCATCAGGGCCAGCACCCATACGTACATCAATATCATTGAGTAATTTTAAAAGTTCACTGTTATCTATCATGACATCACCAATGCCAGAGGAATCTGAGGTAAACGGTAGTGAAAGTGACAAATTGGTAGGATCAGAAGGAAGAAAGTTTGTAAGGAAACAAGAAGCAAAGCCGTCACATATTGCTTGAGCTGAATCTAACGTTTGGTTGTTGTACGTCATTATCGACGGTAAGACATTGTTATCAGTATTTAGGCTATTTATATACGTCCAAAACGATTTGGGATTTTTAACTATAGCGTTTTCAGTTTTTTGTATGAACTTATTATAACAATCACACTCAATCTTCTTCGCTCTTTTCCTTAACAAAGTAAAAGAGTGATAGTCACTTATATTACCATAATTTTTATACTTTCGCCAGTACTTGTGTTTCTCTCTAAGAATTTTTTTGAGAGCAGCGCTATACCATTTTGGGAATCCGTCGTTTCTAATATTTTTTTTAGGTATATGTTTGTCCCGTAACGCATAGATGTTTTTGTAAAATAAAGTAACCGCGCTATCAAGAGGACAACTGTCCAGAATATTACACCAAGAAATGCCATCGAGTTCCGTGCAGATGGCGTCATAGTCACCCGTGTTGAAGCAGTACTTCACTCTTGAGGCACTTGGTAAATATGACACCTTTCTAATACTCAAAGATATAAGGATATATGTATATATAAGGATGGCTATCAGATTATTTGTTATTTCAAGTCACGAAAAAAGTAGGGTAAGATAATTTGCATATTAAAAAAAATATAAAAAGTGATTGAGTATGTATGATGGTTTGGCTTTGATATTTGGTAGTCTACTTGCATCGTACATTGTAGGGGTCGATTCTTTCAGAGTACCTTGATTTTGACAATAGTTATATTGTAACTTTCTTTCACTGCTTGTCTGATCTTTGTCATGAGAGTTTCCGTAGACACTTGTGGAACTACTAACAAAGCGATATACAAGATTACTAGCTTGACTCACAAATGGATTACTAAACACAGCACAAACCGATTTACTAATGGAAGATAATTATGAGTAGGAGTTTTTATTTGACATTCGGAAGATTTTAAATATCTGAATTTTATATATTGCAGGATTTTATACTCGTAATGTTTTTATCTACATGCCATATCTACATTTACCGTTTATATAGAATTATGAACGAAGTGTTTGTGACAAAACTATCTAAAAAGTTTATTATAACATTCTATTTAGTTGATTTTTAGAGATTTTTGAGAGATTTTTATAAACTTAATAAATAATACTAAATAATAAATTATATTACTACTATTAATAATAACAATGTCAATTTAGTGAAGAAAAAATTTTAAAAGCGAAACAATTAGTCGTTTCGTTTCGTAGAATAGGTAGATAGTAACCACCTAAGTACCGGGGGGAAGGGATTGTTAGTAATGGGGAGGTTAGTCTCCGTTGCTATCAATGCACCTTACCAGGTCGACCTCCACGCGGTTCCCTCTGGAAACCATCGTGACTTTATCATTAAATTCGTCCCGATGGGCTAACTGACCTGCCTTTTAATCTTCACCATTCATCCCTCACTGGTGCCCCGCTAGTGTATACCGATAGCACAGGCGGGGTTACCATACCATTATCATCCATTAAAAAAAAAACACCTAAGCACCTACATGTAACTCCATCGATATAGGCAATGATGCGTTACCTGAAAAACTGGTTAAAATAATGATTTAGATGATGGCGTGCAGTATAATCCCATAATAGTAAAGATGTTATACAACAACAGCGTTACCGGTTCTCGTAATTATGAAATTTTATTTTCTGTTGCATGCCTCTAATATGACGGTGAAATGTAAAATATTGCATTGAACATTTATTTACGACTAAATACTTGGTAATTTATTAATTATAAATTCATATATAAATATTACTAAAATAATAATAAAATTTAATTTACAATGACATTTTGTATTATTCAGTAGAAATGAAAAGGACAGTAAAAATATTTACATTGTATTTATTTCATATTTTAATCAGTTTGTTCCATAATTATGGATTTTTAAGGTCAGGATTTTTTTTTGACGAGAAACTCTCAGTATTAAATGCACATTATATTATACATCATATGATGATATGAGAAAAATTCTGGATTAGGGTACGTATTAGAACATTTGTCAACACCGGAAACCAATACCTAGCAGAAAATACAAATCAATATTAATTATAATAATCAATATTAAAATTATTTTATAAATATTTTTAGTTAATCTTCAATATGATTATTATTGTCATTATATCAGTAGTTAACAGTAAACTGCTAAACATAAACGTCTTCCGTAGATTATTTTTGCCATTAGAAGGTATTGCCAGTGCCTTTTCCTCGACTATGCAGTTCACGCAGTCGCACTCTTACGAACCCACGGGAAAGGAAGGAGTGACCCATTTTATGCCGGAACCAGACGGCAATTCTCCTATATAATTATCATCATTTGCCCCTTGCATCCGCTGACTTTATGCAATACATTTGAGGTCATCGCTCCATCTAGTGGAGGGTCGTCCTACACTGCATTTGCCCTTACAAGGTCGCCACTTAAGAGCTTTTCTTCTTCATCGGTTGTCAGTTCTTCGAGCTATGTGACCAGCCAATTGCCACTTCAGCTTGCTTATCCTTCGGGCTATGTCGGTTACATTAAACAATAATTATTTACTTTGTATCTCACCTCTCCAGCTGTACATCGAAATATGCTCATTGGTACATTAGGTAAACGCTCACAATTTGGCATTACATTGCCAACTTAAACTTAGCTTATATATGCATACTGTTTTCCGTATTTCATTTTTTATAAGTAGCCTTTTTTATCATTAAGTACATTTATTTTCATCTTCAAGGTATTCTAAGATCGTTTTACTTATAAAAAATAATAACCATATGAGGTGATTTTTTAGTTTAACATTAGCTATTTCATATTTCTAGATTATTCTGTGCAATATATTCATCATATAGTCATTTGCCATTTGCTTCTAAACTGAAAACTGAATAATATCCATGTTCGAAATTAACTTATGTCATATATTAAAGAATCGGGAGGATTCGAAAGCCTTGTGTTCTAGCAACTTATAGGTGGTTTTTTGCCTTCAATATCTAGTGAATCTGAGCCTTTTTTATCACCAGAATTTCCACAAACACCAGTAGAACTAGTAACAAAACGATTACGGGCTCTATTAATTCTATATGGTTTTAAATTATTTAATACAAAAGAAAGAGATTTACTGATAGAACACATTGCTAGGTGATAAAGATAGGCGTTTTCAAATAATATGATCTCTGATAGGGTTACATTTCTTCAAATAATTTGTTTTTCTTTCAATTATGATTTTGTTTTTCTGTGCTGGACATACCAAAATATCCAGAACATTATTTAATTTTTTTATTTTACATAATTGTTTTGATGATGCTGTAACTTCGTAGATTTTCGTCAAAGTCGTACAATACTGACGGATCTTTATATATAATCTTTGTCAGATCCGCCTGTATTCTACGACTATGACGTTTTGACGTATGACTATCTGCAGATACTATTCTTAATTTATGTGACTATTACCTTTGACTACAAAGTTCTAGAATAGATTGAAAACATAGAATAGATCATTGACATCAGAGTATTTATAACGTACCTATAATTCATCAGTAATGTTAATATTTGTAGGCGAATACTATCCATCTCTTAGATTATAAAGTATGTTATATTCAGTTTATGATCCACTTATATAAAATTCAATCAAATCTTAACATTCTCACGCAGGTATCTATTATTACTATTTGCGGTAGTCAAGGAAGCATAGACATTTTGATTACACAGTAATAAATGCAGACATTTAATACTTTTAGCCTTAATTTTATATATCTTATTAAGATGGTGAATTATAAAACCTATTTTTAATTGAAATAAAATTTATTACCGTTCTCTAATAAATTACAAAATCGATAATAGTTGTCCATTGGTACCAGCATCAATCAAAAACCACTGTACCAAAATGAATGTGGTTTTCAATTGTATTCCAGAAGGTTAAAATCTGATATATGTTTTATTTTAATATGCCATCTAGAAATTGACACCTATTTCCAAATTGCACGTGTATGAAGTAGCGTGCGAAGACTAATAAAAATAAATAAGAAAACAAGTAAAAAAAAAAAACAAAAATATTTAATTCGTTTTCAGTATGATCTTAGTTGCACTTTTTCTTAAATTTTCTAAAAATTCAGTCTTAAGGGTTAGCAGAGCTTCATCACCAGTACTGGAAGGCCTTCTGCCGGTCCACCATCAGCAGTCGCTGCACCGCCAGTAGGCGCGGAACAACCTGTACAACATTCAGGTGTCAATAATTTCATTTTCTCTCTAGGTTGAGAGCCAATTAACCCACCATTAAGGACAACAGAATTGCCTGATGTATTACTAAAACTACCACCAGTAAGTGAGTTACGGCCTGACTGGATCCCAGATGGACAACAGTCCGCTTTACAAGGAGTATCCTACAAACAAAGTGGTGGTGACGCGAATGAATACGACCTGGTCTTGTGCAAGAATCTTCATTGCTGATTGGCTTTGCAATTTTTCGTGGTTGACCACGGGGTCCTATCTCACTATCATTTCCTATCGTCTCTTTTTTAGCAAAACGCTCTAATATGGTTGTAATCGATTTTCTATCAAATACAAACATAGATTACATATTTGATGGATCTGATGGATCCTAAGTATTACTGTGACACATGGTATTAACTATTGAAGGCCGTGTTATGCTATTAATACAAATACATGTGTGACTACCAGATCTATTACCATCGTCAATTTTTCGATTTGAACAGCAAAAGATTTGGGACACTTACAGCACTTTCCTTCACTTTCGCCTGTTGAAACATTTGGCATTATACCCTTCAGTTCACATACAATGAATCTTTTGCCATTTTCAGAATTAGAATCTACAATACTTTCAGTTCCGCCTCCGCCTTGAGCACGCATGTGTATTGCTAGTGGCGTTGGATCAGCGAGTCCGCGTGCTCGCGCTAGTTGACTCGGTGCACATAGTGGATCCGGCAACACTAAACAGGACGGTTCACCTCCGCACCCCGTTCGGCGACAGTCATGTTGAAGCCCATTACGCTTTATACAGTGGCAACTATAATACATAATGCCTCCTCGCAGCTCACGACTCTTCGTTCTTTTCAACTGATTTTCTTTTTCGTCCTTTTTTTCCGCACCGCCCTCCTCCGGCCTCGAACTTCCATTAGGGGATTTTCCTTTCTGTAAAAAAATTATACTTTAATAATACCTATATCTTGGTGATTGCCCATAGCCCGCCGTGGCGTGAATGAAAACTTTATTACCGAGAGCTGAAATGGTTAACAAACTGGGGCATCAACAGCTACCATTGAGATATCAGGTCGAAGTCACTGAAGCGCGTAACGTAGGTCTTGCCAGGTGGTAGACGACGCACGCAAGGCGGACAGGGCGGAGGACAGGGCTTCGGACAGCAAGGACCCGCCCGGCATAGATATCGAATTGATCCTTGCTGGAAGTACTGGCAATCTTGTAATCCATTACGTTTGAACGCAGACCGTGGCAAGCACTGCAGCTAAAATAATTTTGTCTATTAGTTAGTTAATCTCACATTTTCGTTATTTTACTATTTTGATTTTTTTTTACATATGTGAAAGAACGCAAACAAGCATATGGTTCACTGCACAAGTCACAATCGCAGCTGGTGACACCAATAACATCAGAAGAGTCGCCGAACTGTTATCAGCCTTTTAAAAATTAAGTAGTTACTAAATATTTTTGTAAAAATAAATAGTTATTAAGAAACTTACCGGCGGACCACAGTCCTCGTATTTGTAGCATACCATAGGGCCACAAGGGCTGCACCTGAAATATTACGAAAATTAAAAGAATATTTTAAGGTTTTTCCAGAAGAAAAATTAAACTATTTTGTTACTGTGAGTCGTCAGAACTTATTATTTCCTAAATAAATGTCACTTTTAAAAAATAAAAGGTTTTCAATTCGTATAACGATTATGGTGCCAATTCTTAACTGGTTTTCATAATTCTTTTTAAATACGATAGGGTTTACTTGTTAGTCCCAAGCAGCAAAAAAATTGCTTGTTAATTATAGACAATTACAGATAACTCGCTTTTACCCGCAACTTCGTCCGTATGACCGGGATGCATTCAGTAACCGGGATAAAATGCAGTCTATAACCTTCACTAGCCCATACAGTACGTGTATATCAAATTTCAAAGTGATTGATTAAACCACTAAGGTGCTATAATGTAATAAACAAACTCACATTCACATTTATAATATTAGTAAAGATTCCGAATTAGAAATTCTGAATGTTTCGGAGATATAGATTAAAAATATTTGAATTTTAATCTATGTCTCCCAAACATACAGTCATTAATCGAGTACTTCACCACGAATTAAGTCACTGGTTATTTCTTTGTGAATATACCTATTTTTTACACAATAAAAGACAAAAATGTGTCTATGCCAAATTGATCTAAATTGTGAGACGTATAGATATGTATACAGACAAGTTGAAGCAACCATCATTAATAAATATACAAACCAATTTTAAATACCAGGATTTACCCGATTCACAGACCTAACTCTGTCCATTTGCCTACGCTATAAGCGGTATTTAGGCATGCATTGTGACAAAGCAATCACGTTGAATCATATGTCTATTCTAGTAAAAACGTATTAATAAAAGAAAATTCTCTTTGCATTAATGGGCAGGTTTAAAGTGGCTTTTAAATTATCCTTGACACGACGTAGCAGTGATTTTATAGCCAACTATATTCAAAGAATTATTTCTACATGAAACAATTTAATATACGTATTTAGCTTCCATTTAATATAATTAGTTGCATGATTTATAGTAGAAATATGTTTTCATCATCATTTATTTATTTATTTATTTATGCTTTTTCTAATGTGACATTTTTTTTATAATGTGGTCAACATTACAAAAAAAATGTCTGGTACAAAAGGCGGACTTAATACTATATAGCATTCTCTCCCACTCAACCTTTGGCAAAACAGAAATTTTAATATGCGGTAAAAAAAATTACAACACATACAATAGAGATTATATAAATATACATACATGAATATATTAAACAAATATTACATAAATATACAAATATGTAATAAAAATACATATATACAAATATAAATATACATATATAAATATACCTACTTATAGATTATATTCGATAACACAAATAAACAACGATAGAGATCAAAAGCGATGATGATAAGATGAACTGCTTTTACAGTTTTTTCCAAAGATATTCGTAGACTTTTCTCTTAAAAATAAATTTGTTAGAAATTTGTCTTATTTCCATGGGTAGCGCATTCCAGAGTCGTGATTATCATCATCATATCAGCCTTTAACTGTCCACTGCTGAACATAAGCCTCCTCCTTGAGGAGTTTTACTAGTAGTTGCCACGCTCGACAGGCGGATTGGCAACTGCAGTTAGGTTTTGGAGATGTTTAAAGAGGAACGCTGCTGCCCATCTCTCACCTTCCTTTGGTCGCCTTTTACGATACCTACAGAAATACGTTTTGGTTGCATAAAAACGGGAATTAGACGTTGTCGAAGATGAAAACTGATGTTCTGGAGTCATTCCATACCTACTACTAGTTTTACAATGTAAAATCATAATAGTTACATTGTGAAAGCATTATTCACATATATACATATGGCATATTGCTTATCATTATCATATATCTTATTTTACTAGCAAAATATACTCACATTTTAGGTAGGTACAGATCCAAGCCGAAGATATGAATATAAGGAGGAGGGGGAGTTTAACTTAAATATTTTATTAAAGTTTAAAATTTACATAGATATTGAAAATTTGTAATGAAACACTCAGATAATTTAGAATTTAAAAGTTACGCAATTTTTTTAGGTTATAAAAAATACATCTAAACAAGTCAAAGTGAAAAAATCTTCTATCAAACACATTTTTCTTTTGTTACATTCCATATTTGTCCTCTTTAAAATTTGAAGTAATTAATAATTCAAATAGCCAGTTTGTTTTTATGACAATAACATATGTACAAAAAAATCTTTATAGTACAATTCCAATTAGCTATATAGGTATTGTTGTAAAATGTATATTTTGTATTTTTTACTTTAGAATTATATTAATCTCGTCTGTTAAAATCTCCCCATGTCGCAAATAGCAGATAATGCTTCTGCGTGGGGATTGGCGTAGTGTTTTTGGCATGCCACTCGAGCTGGTTCACAAAGAGGAGCAGGCAATGCTTGGCACAGCGGAGAAGTTTGACAGCCGCTCCTTCTGCAGTCATATTGCAAGCCATTTCGTCTTATGCAGTAACAGTCTATATATAAAACACCTCCTCTAAGCTCCCGACTCTTACAAGTGCGCAGAGGTGTGAAAAAGATGCATTTTTGTCCTTTAACCATGGCGAACCTAAAATTTTTTTATTACATATACGAGTATTATAAGAAAATAATTCTGTCGCTATCGAGTGATGTATTTTTATATTGTTAGTTTATCTCAGCGCTAGAATTTCGTGTCGTTGAAACTTTTACCCAGGAATGCTTCTAATATATGGATTATGCTGCAATATGTAATATAATATGTGCATATTATCTTTTTAAATATAAATATTGTTTATCATACACTATATATATACAATTTCAATTTCAATAAATAAATTATATTATTATTATACAACAATAAATAAATAAATAAGTAAAAATATACAAGTACTTATGCAAACATTCATATCTATATTTTTTACTATTTGTTAAAAAAAACGTGTTCGTGAATGTACATATTAAAAAATACCATCATTTATATCTGTATATGGAAAAAGCATATATTTATATATCATTTATTAACGTTTTGTAATCATAATATTTGTGGCTACTTACTTCTGAACTTTAATTAATCTTTGTTCCAAAACTTAAATTTTATATGTTATAATTTATCACAAAAAAAATTCAAAATAAAAAATTCACTGTAAATTTAAACACGATATTATATCTATAATCAACTAACACTTGATTTAGATATTTAGGTTGAAACAATTTTATTAACAAAACAAGAAGGCCGTGTCATTTTGAATATATTTGTTTTTTTAAATATTTTCAATAAGATTTTTAAGCACTGATACTAGTACTAGATAGTTTTATTGTAAATTTGAATACAATTAAAATGCAAACGAAATTCAGTATCATTTATGTAATTTCTTATAATTTTGTCCTAAATAATGGTATACAAAATTTATATGAAATTATTATTTCCCGGTTTTTTTTTCACGCATAAGTATATGCGTGTGTCAGAGTTTTACAGAATAAAATAGCGCGGGGTAAATTTGTACTAAGAATTACTGGCCGGTTAGTACTTAATATATAATGGTACTGGCTTTAAATACTTCTCATTTAAAAAAGAAATTCAAACCTTTTTTCTTTATTTAAAGTATGCAGAGATATTTTGTAGAAGAACATTTACGGTAGTCTTCAGTACAATCAAATCCTTTGCGAGATTTACACAAAAAGCTCTAAAAAAATTAAAATCGTTAAAAATCTTTGAAAAATATCCGTTATTTTCTTAAATCACCAAATTCGGCCGATCCTTGGAATTATTTGATTACTAGTACTCTTCACATACCCATACAAAAATGTAAGTTCTTTGGTAATGCGACATCAGGAATAATCCCTAATTACAAATTATAAGTTTCGTTTTTCTAACCAGGTGTTGCGGACCCTGTGGAGGTTGCTGCAGCGGTGGTAACTGCGGCGGTTGTTGCTGCCCATGTATCACTATATACACGTGCTGTACCAAGATTTGCTAGTGTGCTAGTGTTGGCAGCCCCGAGGTCATCGCAGACAAGCCATGGCGTCTGCAGCGATTTCGTCGAAGGGCAATCTTTCCGCTTCGTATACGCAGTGCTGTTTTTGTGGAAATAAACTATTGAATTAAGCGTAACATATGGATTTTTATTCACGTAATTCTTAGGTCCTAAATAGGAAAACTAATAGAAAAATCTGTATTGTACAGTTTCATGGCCTAGTAATCTTCTCTGTGCAGAACTATACAAAGCCAATTATTTTTATTCACGTAACTCTTATCTCCTTGATAAGAGAATTCATAGAAAAATCTGTCTAGGAGCTTGATGCTAATACGATAGGGTCTATAGGGTCTAAGTACTATGCGTGCGGTTCGCTAAGTTGCGGCATGTATAACGCCTTGGTATTCGAGAATGGACATGCGTGGGGAGTATCATGGGCAAGACAAGACTGTATACTCTGTAATGGCACTGTTACCTATAGACATAGATGACGATCACCTCTTTCCATGAGGGGTAAGCCCTTAGCTCGTTTGCCATTCTAAATAGCATAGTCTGCCCATCCCTCGCCATTCTCTTAGTCGTATTATAAGTCACGGGAAAGGAAGGGGAATTCTATACGGGGACCATGCGGCTTTCTCCAATATTCCAAGTGTTCCAAATATGTCTAGCTCAGGTTAACACATCATCCGCTCCTGGTTGGAATCAGTGACAATTGAGCTCACTACTCATTTGTAAACTACGAGTACACTACACTATGTAGACTTTACTATTTGTCCTAATATGTACATTTATTTTTATGATGAAACGTTGTTCTGCGTATGTCATGCAAAGTCTCAATAAAAATGTTAAAACTTTGATGAGACGAGAACCATTATTAATACGAAAGAAAAATATGACTGCATAGGATAATAACATAGCATTAGTAATTTTAAAATTTATTAATTGAACTTTAACAAGTTTGGACACATGCTGGACCATGTTGACCGACTGCTATCACAGCTTTGTCAAATGCTGCGATGGGGCGAGGTGGCTGGCCAACAGCGAGTACTGCATCTGTTGGAATTTTTAGTACAAATATCAGTTTTTGTATTCAATGTTTAATACCTATATAATATAAATTTTCGCAACTATAATTTTTTTAGGGTGAATATAAAAATTATATTTGTGAAAATATTAGAAAACTGTTTAGTGAAAAGAAAAGACGCAAAGTTCTCGTTGTAGTTTATTTAGTTGTACTTTACGCTTTCGTAGTTTGTTATGATTTAGTAAAAGAATCGGAATATCACAGTTGGCGTATGCTGGTCAAACATTGCACCATTTAGAGGTACTAATGAGTTGTTACGCCATTAATAATTCATTATTATGGACAGCCTAAATAAAAAAAATACAGGCATTTAAATCTACTGAACAAAGAATGACTTTGCTATTCGTGCAAGTGCAGTAAGCGTCACTGGATATGTGCTACTTGACTGTAAACTGTGACGAGGGATCCAGCACTGCAACACGGTGGTGGACAGCATGGTTGGCAGCACTTTGAAGGACACCCACCGCCTCTGAAAATGAAAATATTTAAGTAATACTTGTACATATTTAATGATAATGTAGCAATAAAACTAGGTTTAGGTATTATTTATTTTTATTGCCCCTATTCTGCCGAGAAGCAGATAGGCAGTTATGAAAATAAAATTAAATACAGTGTAAAGACAAGCGAATAAAAAATACTGTATATATATAATATGAAAAAGATTAACTGTATAATCCATTTTTTTCTGAAATCTAATTTGTATATACATTACATAGCTAGACTCTTGAACGCACAAAAAATATTTATTTGCTTTACCGGATTGCTGACATTATAGTTTGCAATTGGCCGATTATATTCATGCGGTCACACATTCCGCTGTTTTTTCTGTAATATAAAAAGAATAATAAGATGATAAAACACTAATAATTTTATTTCGATGCTAAGTATATAGTGACATAAAATGTCCTTCACACTTGTTTTTTTTTTCTAACATTAAATGTCACAAAGTTAAGATAAAAAATACTAGTAGGTTTTAATCAAAATAATTTAAATATATTTTGTTAAATATATTTAAAAAATATATGAAACACGTTATACATATCTATAAAATTTGAGAGTTGCCCTCGATTTCTCTAGGGGTTTCCTCATCAGAATTTGATGTGATGACAATAGAACTATCTCAGGAGTATATTTATTGAATAAAAAAGAATTTTTAAAATCGCTTCACAATATACAGCAAAGTCGGTGGGCATACGTAAAAAAAGTATACAATCGAATATAGAACCTCCTCCTTTTATTAAAAAATTATCATGATATAATTAAAGTTCAAATAGAAACACTCATGGTCTTACTCGTAAATTCATTTTAAACTTTAGATTATTAGAACGAAGTACGTTTTACTGATTCTCTAAACACATTTTTTGTAGATATCTTAAAAGAACTTCTTCGATTTCATAACATTGGGCAAAATGTAAGTATGTACTTACATTTTGCTCCCCCGTTGTATTGTGACGGTAAAATTGTGCGATATCCTAAAGTTTTATGGAAAAATAGAAAAACGCCCATTAGACAGATACTTACGCTCATTAGATATCTTTCTATATGTACATTTGTATAAGAAAAAACAATATTGATCATATAAAAACTATTTATTAAATTTCACATTTATCATAAAACTTCTCATTTCAATACTGGAATATTTTTTATTCATTAATTTAATATGACAAACTTATAAAATCGATAAGCACTGTAAATATCTTGAGATCATTATTAATATTTTAGAAAAAGACACGACATTATTGAACTATTTTAGTTTAAAAGTCTTTCTAATAGTAACAAAGATATATATATATATATATATATATATATATATATATATATATATATATATATATATATATATATATATATATTTAATAAAACAAATAGGTAGATTACATTTTTTACGTTAATCACTGTTGATAGATAATTCGTACCCACAGATTTAGAATTCTACCTGTGGTTGTGCTATATATCATGGTAAAGCATCAGAAAAAAATTAAACTAAGCGTATTAGAAAAATTTTAAAAACAAAGAAAATTTGTAGATGATTTTGATGTTATTAATTATATGAAGGAGCGCATGACGGATATTGTGATTTCGCCTGGAACAAAAATTAAGTCAAGTAATTATTACATTTCTATTGAAAATAACATATTGTTTACTGAAATGATAGAAGATAATAGATAAAGGATATTTGAAAGATATTTTGAAAATATTCTACAAGTGTTTTATAATGTTTTAACATGTTGCATTGGTTTGGTCATGTGGAGAGGATGGATGAAAGAAGAATTACGAAAGAGATTTATCGAGCAAGAATGAATGGAGATGTCGGTAGGGGCCGCCCTAGACGGACGTATGTTGACCAAATAGGCGACGTGCTGCAGAAGAGCCAAATTAAAAATACCCATAACCGGCGAGCGTATATGAAAAGATTGATGAATGTGGAAGAAACGAAAGAGGTTTGTTTGAATCGAAGCATTTGGCGTTCCATTATTCTGCCTACCTTAATGGAAGACAGGCGTGACAGATATATATGTATGTATGTATGTTTTATAAATTTTAGGATATTTGTTACTCGATCACGCTTGACATATGCATGAATGAAATTTGGTATACTGATATACCCAATTACAATACACGTAAGATGCTTATAAAATAAAGTAGTAAAGTAGAATTATAATTAATCATTATATAATTTTATTCATATAAAAATAAAATTTTTATCCTATCCATTTAGATGAAAAGAAATGCAAATCGAGCGGTGTTTTCGTGCATAAATATATTCTTACCGGACGTTCAGAATTAATAAGTTGGTAACGAACTTTCTTGTCTTGGTTATTGAGCAGCATGCCTGGCCAACTAGTGGGCCGATAGTCGAAGGTACTATCTCCAACGATCAAGGGCCTACGCAGCGTCACCGGATCCATACCGCATGGTAAACATGGTGGGCCCTGTTGGTTAAAATATATTCCTTACTAATATTATCTAAACTAATTATTTAGTATAAATAGAAAAGATTATATTTTTGTTTCTAATTAATAAACTCAAAAAATTCTTAGCCGATTTTAAGAATTCTGTCACCTAGAGAAAACTATATTATCAGTAAGGCAACATGAATTGTATTTTATTAAAAAAAATAAGTACGAAGCAAGTTTACGTCGCACTAATCTCTATAAAAATAAGTTTGATCATTGCATTTAATCATCATGAAATGTAATACGTAATACTCCAAACTAAAACTATGCTACGAAAAAGGCCTTAATGCTACTTTTTATCTCGGTTAATCAATATATCGTAAACAAAGACGTTGAAAAGTAACTGATGGAAAAATATTATTTATTGAAACATTTAAGCGGTGTCTCTCTATCTCTCTATCTAGATCTTAATAATCAGAGAGCCGACCAAGTGCTGTGGGCCTCGTGTCAATGTGACTTGCACCTGCTTTTTTAACATTTTGTTTCACTAAATCTAATATAATTAAATTATTTTATTTACTTATATTATAACTTTATGTTAATACATCATTAAATAACTATATCTAAAGTAATTTTATAAAAAAGATTTTTGTTTTTGTTTTTAATGTATAAATAAACAAAATTCTAAACCGATACCTTTTACCCATTTACTCCAGCGAAACCGGGGCGAATCGCTAGTCCGACTACATAGACATATACTTGCCTGAACTGGATAACAGGGAATACATTCTGGTGGTTCTTTATAACTTGGCAAATTAAATATTGGACTACACATTTTAATTTGATCCTAAAATAAATATGTTAAAAAAAATTGTGTCGACAATCAACAGAATTTATGACATACATTTGACAAACTACATTCGCTTTTAAAATTTTGTCTATTGAATTTAGCGTAAAGAGTTTCTATTTAATTTTCAGAAGAAATGTGAAAATGAATAAATACGATAAAACCATTTTGATTTAATATAATAAAAAATATTATATAAAAATACAATCCAATATAGTAATCGTTCAAGGCCCATATAGTCTTGGACGATTTTTAATTTTATTTAAGTATAAACTTTTTATTACACATTTGATATTTTTAAAAATAAATATTAAATTTAAAAATATGAATTAAATATTTTCTCTTCGAATTTGAAGAGTTAACTCTAGAACGCAGAGGATTTGACAGTTTACATCTTCATGCTAATTTGTATTTCCCATACTTTTGTATTAATTTAGTAAAATCTACTAATTGGACTTTATTCGATTCGATCCCATTAAAAGTACATAATTTTCGTATTTGTTTATATAGGGGTGAAGTACAGGATTACAAAAATTGCAGTAGCCAGTCTATTACACTTTTTGCCGTAAACATGTAGGATTAATAGTAGGGTTCATCTTTTAAATATATTTAATCAACAATTAAAAAGAACAATAATTATTTTACAATAAAACGAATAAATTTTTAAATTGTTCAAGTTAACAAAACACTTTTCGTCGCTGGCCCGTGCGCGGTATGCGCGCGCAGCCAACAATTACAAAGCGCCTGCGTGACCTGCGCGCGCATCTTGCGAGTGAGTCCCGTGACCAAGCGTTATGATATAAATAGATATATATATATATATATATATATATATATATATATATATATATATATATATATATATATATATATATATATATATATATATATATATATATATATATATAACAAAATGTTAGTTTGTCTTGCTTTTAACTAATAAAAAATTCAATTAAATTATAAAAATTTATATACATATATATAATAAACATTGGTGAGTATTATCTCACCACAAGCATAATACATGCTTACGGCAAAACCTCAATATTAACCTATTTTGTCACCATCACATACTATCAAGCTTGAGTTATTTGTTAATTTAAAACCTTAATAATTAATACAGGTGTTGCAGATGTGGATGCCCCAGAATCGCCATCTACACGTGCTGTACAAAAATCTGTTAAGCACAATATTACCAACGGCAAAAAGCGTATCACTTCAAGAGAAGAAGCGATGCTGCCTAGCAATGTCTTTGTTATAGTTATAAGTGGTGTCATTAAAATATTTTAATATAAATTTTACTTTTATGCTCATTTCATTTTACTATAACTAATGAACGAAACTATACCCACTGCCTCATAGATAACTATGGCTAAATGTCTTTTTACGACATTAGCATGACTATTAAAACCATATTGAAATAGTTTATTATAACTCTACATTCTTTACGTCTTTTGCAAACAGTTTAACCAGAGAATCCAAACTTGTTGGAAAAGTACTGGAGGTTATTTATCGATGTCAAACCAATAAGTTCAAATGATCTTTAGACGTACACGTATGGCTACAGACTTTCCATGTTTGTTTAGTCGAGGTAAATATCTATTAAATATACCTGACTGCGAAAATTTTAAATAGAACTTCCAGTAATTGATTTTGTGGCAAGAAATACAAATTTCAAAAGAAATAAGTTAACAATTGGACTTTTTTATACTGTTAGTTTACGTTTACTTCATGATTATGAACTTATTTCTTTTTAGCGTTTCGTCTGTTATCTGATGATTCTTATATCAGCATAACTACAAATAGTATAAAAATGGCACAGTTTAAAACATAGTATATATTTTAACAAAATCGGTCGATACTACTAAAATCCTACTAAAATCGGTCGAGTGAAGCATTACATAAAAAGTGGGTAACCATATAGATTATACATACCTAATAGATTCTTAGTATAAATCTCGTAGGTCTATTGGTCGTTATAAATAGTGCTGAATACAATGGGTACTCTCATTTCTTTACATACCATCCACATAAACTGCACCCAATTAAGTTTTTTTTTTTTTCTTTTAAATTTCAAGTGGATAATACAATGATTGGTTGCAACGAGTCTTGTGTGCCCGCTATGTGTACTGCGGCTGCAAATATCTGTGGATCCCAAACACCTTTTATCTGCCAGAATAAAATACTAGAGACCCCACGGTGTTATCCTGTGAATCCCTGCATTAACATTTATAGCTGTCATACACAAATCATGTAAGAGCTACCAAGAAGACCAAAAACAAGGTAATTACAACAATTCTTCAAATTGTCTACCTACTAAGATTTAAATTGATCCATACGAGAAAATACTTAAATAAATTATTTTAGGAATCCAGTACGACTTTCTTTTCATTGGATCCAATCACGTATTTTGTTAAATAGTTTTATTATTATACTTCACATTCTAAGCTCGTCATTTGATGTAAGTATACGATCACTAATTACAGTCTCATGTAACTTATGAACATAATTATCCCACCGGTGTCAATAGACCAATAAAGGATATCCCCTATTGTGACAGCAAAAATGAGTATATTAGTTATATCAAAAAGTTAATTTTGGGGCATTACATTAATATAGGCTGAGTGGAATTTATTACCCTATTTGAATTATCAATAAGCCAAAGGCTTACCGCTTGGCCTATTTACATATTAGAACATTTATGTAAGAGTTACTTCTTATGAACGATTCTACATCTAATAACTCAGAAACATTGTTTTTAAGTCTCTTTTATATACTAGATTAAAAAATTAAGGGATATACAAAAAATTCTTAGGGGATTTTCAACGAGCTGTAACTCCGAGGAAAACGATGGTACAGCAAAAAGAAAAAAAGCAATTTGTAGCTCCAAGTATCCAGTTTTCAGACATGATCATGAATATTTATATCATGTTTGGATTCTAAAAAACTACCAAAAAAATTTGCAATTTTTTCTTATATAAAAAAAAGATATACGGGCTTAAAAATTTTTTTTTTTCATTGTTTCTTTCAGTAGCTTTTTTAGAAAATTTAATACTCTTTAATCTGACGTAATCAAAAAGCCTGTACGATGATTAGCCGCTGAGTTATCGTCAGTCAAAACAAAACAGTTCTTTTTAACCTTGACAATCAATAACTCTGGAAAAATGATCGTATAGGAAATCGAAGGAGGGTTTTGGAAACTACACGATATTCTCTATAAAGTACCGTAAATGACTTTTGTCGAAAAAATTTGATGTTAATGCCGGCAAAAAGACAGCAGTCCTAAAATATCGAGAAAATTTGTAAGAAAAAATTAAATTTTTTCCTCAAATGGGTTAATATCACTTTCAAAAAGTTATTAGTAATAAATTTATCATTTTTAAACTGCTTCAGTATGTACGAGTTTTATGCGGGGATCGAACCTATAACTATTAAAAGCTACTTTGCATAAATATTTTGATAATTCTTTGTTTCTAATTCTCACGTCTTTTACGTTGTATGTGATCTAAATAATATCCAAGCAATGAGTTTTAAATTTATTATCAACATTGACATCATTTGACTGGACATTTACAGAATCAAGTCAATTGAATAATTTATTCAGGAACCGTTACCGCAATGGAACATCTACAGAGTAGAGACATCCAGATTGGGGGCCCTGTAAACGAAATAATAAAGTGTAAACAAAAACAATACACTAATTATCTGGTCTTCAAATTAGGATCTACACTAGAGGCTAAAAACGTCTTAAAGTTTGTGATGGTCCCCCCCTTTTGCCTATGTGTCACCCCTTATATAATAACTACCCTCTAAACTAACCTACACATGGAAAACCTACAAAGCCTAAGAAAAGCCTACGAAGGCTTTACCTAATGAAATCTATGAAAATATAATGAAAATCTACCCTAAAGAAAGGCCTAACACCCTCAATATAGCCCATACCTATATTACCTTATACACCCTAAACATCTTATGAATCTTAAAAAACCTTACAATAAACACATAATATTAAACAGATCTTATAGCAGAACACTTGATCATTTGGCCAGATAAATAAATGTGTGATCGTCTAGTAATGTAGGACCTGTTGTGTGTGTAATAACCAAAAGGTTCTTTAATTGGTATATGACAGGAGTTAAATAATGAAGATGATTGATAAATATTTAAGGATTAAGAATAATTAATGAATTATACTCATAATTCATGTAACTAGGAAGTTAGAATATAATATATTAATTTAATAGTAAATTACAGAATAACTGTAATAATAAAAAAATGGGGAGCGGTCGGGCCCCTCACACGCCCGGACCAGTGGAAGACTTTCCAACTATCTATAACTCTTCCTCCTAAAAGGTAGGGAAGGGTATTACTATTTATTAATGCACTCTGATGGTAATAAGGGAATGAGTATTCTCAGTTCCAAACCAAACATAAGTACATTTATTTCAACATTACAGTGGCTCCACCAGCCCCACGATGCTTCCAGTATAAATCAGTGTTTGCCAGAGGCAAACGGATCGGAACTGAAATCCCAGGATCACTCCGACACGAGAGCTTACTCATGGGCGATGACCCTTTCAGTCCTATATGGCGACATAGAGATCACCCACTAACAGTACGAAACTGTTTCCCAGCGTCACCCTGTTATGAGCTTACTCAATGGGGGTTTCCCTTCGGCTCCACAAGAGATCAGACCAAGAAGCGAGATCACCCAGACACCAGAACCTACCTTGATGGGACATAACCCTTCGGCCCTATAATGTGACATTAGAGATCACCTGTGAAGACAGTCCGATAGAGATGAAGATTTGTGTGATAGGGGATACCTTCCACACCCTGGAATTGGCCAAGCCATATAATGTTGATAATTGCTATATCATAACATAGCATTGTCAATTTAATATTATTTACTTAATACCAAGAATACTCAAGGTTCAAGTTAAATCTGTTGATTAGGCCGGAGCCTAAGAACGAGTAGTCCAACCCATAGGTCGAGAGCTACTAAAAGTAATGAGTGCTATTGAATGAACTATAAGTCCAGTCAATTATATTTAATATTATTATTGTTGATTAACCACATTGTGAATTAACCAATTATTTATTTAGAGAGATATATCTAAAGGAACTGTAAGTCCTCTAAAAGACACTGATTAATCACAAGTTAACAACGTCTCGTGAAATAACCAGTTGGGTTTTCTATAAGTTTGAGGACACTAAGTCCAACAAGCTATTATTGTGTTGAGAGTAATAGAGATCTTTTGTAATATTTGTAGAGGTTTGATTAATCACATTGTGAAATAATCAGATTAAATAATTATGTAGCTTTATAGAGAGGACTATAAGTCCTAATTGGTTGTTGACGTAAGTACTGATAAATTACACATTAAAGTGCCAGGTCAATTATTATATATAGGTATATAGGAAGGACAATAAGTCCTATTTGTGTATGTTGAGTAGTAGATGTATATTGAATAATTATAATGTAAAAGATATATATTAAATATATATTTGTATAGAAAGGACAGTAAGTCCCATACAATTATTGTAGCTGTACTATAGTTATACTATATCTACTTCCTTTTAGTGTCTTAGTAAACCTATTTACTAAGAGGATTTCTCAGATAAACAAGTGTTTTAGTGTTTAAATCATCATGATTAAATCCCTAAGAAATTAGGTCTTTATATAATTATCATATCATTTAAGTAAAATTTCTCATATAAATAATTCCAATATTTCCCCTACAGTTATTATAAAATAACAGAAAATTATATAAATTTTCTATGGACTTAGATATAGAATCATAACGTGTATAATCTCCTTTTGTTTGACATCTGTCACATTAATGACGTATTGAATGACGTATTGATGTATTGAATTGAATTTTGATTATCTATCACAACTGTCAACGTAACAAATACTAGCAAGTTTGTTTATTTGTATTTGTTTAATATAATTAAATATAAAATCATCATATATCAACCGTAATATACAACTAAATTATCAGTGACATAAATAATCATGGTTTACACCAGAAATAATTAATAGTATCCAGTAATGCTGCAGTTTTATATTCATATCAGTAGCCAAGCTTACTTTCAAATTCAAGAATGAACAGAAGATTAGAAGTTTAACATTCTTATTGCAATTGTACTTGCAATAATATATACATACAGTACTAATTATCAAGAACATTCCTCAAATACATGTGTGGTGAAGATTTTCCCAATATGCTATCTATTTGATTTCTAACCTCTAATGTAAATTTATTAAAGAAGTGAATAATCAGTGTTAGTGTTTGCTTTATTAATATTTAAAGTAATTGTCCTAACTTGATATTAATAGGTTCATATCTCCTTGGATACAGCCCAACATATACAACTAACTCGATAATGAAATTTATAAAATACTAATATTATATTTTACTACTTGTACATCTCCATTCTATTCCCATAAATATTCAAAATATGTATATTAAATATAAATCCAATAAAGATTCACTAATTTTAACCCTATCTGAACTTGTCTAGTCAATATAGCATGAACAAACAACACACATACAAACCTTATCGCCATGACAACTTTCTTCCTAAATATTAGTAAAATACATAGCTCACACTTGTCATTTAGTACTAATTTTATACTGTATCTCATACCTAGTTAAGAGTAATTATAGTCAGAGAATCCTTTGATAATTTTATTACCACTAGGAATTAAATCCACACCTATAATATCAGCATAATTAAATATTATTAGTAATCAGTAATACACACAGAATTGTTATTATCAGCTTGCTTACTACAACAAAATCAATATTAAAGTTTATAATAAATCAAGACAAAATATCTATTTACACAATACAGGCTTGTTTACCATAAACACCCCACAGTCACATGAATTTATCTACTTAACACAATAATGTATTAAAAGTATTACATTCACATAAAATCACTTGCAACAGTTAAACTGTCTCTTTGTACATCTGGTGTAAAACAAATCTTTACATGTAGTCATGGGTAATCAAATATAGACTTAAGAATCATTAGTCTGATCGACCGAGTAATGGTATAAAAACACTTCACCATGAAGCGTTAAGTATGAACAGATATTCCAAACCAACACTGTAATAGTGTAATAAATACAAATATTTCATCATCATCATCGTCTCAACCATCACCAACCCACGACTGAACACAGGCAATTTCCACCGACTGACACAAGGAACGGCCCCACAATACACATAAAACAGTCACTCCAAACAATGGAGGTAGCCCACACCGCACTTGCATTTACAGGGTCGCCACTCAATAACCCCTCTCTCTCATCAATGGCTGTTTCCCCAGCAATGAGACCAGACCACAGTCACTTCAGTCTATTATCCTCAATAAATAAATACTTTATAATAACTAGATATGAAACTAGTTAGTATTGTAATAGTTCAATAGTTGATTCAATAAGTATTTTCCAAAACTGGACAATTAGAACATTGAATCAAATTGATGAAGTTCTATCAAACGACCATATAATTGGATTTTGTATATGAGTAGAATAACGTAAGTACGTAAATTATATTGATGTAAACTTTGTTTAAATGTGATTGCATTTAACGATATACGCATTACCTAAAAGTATATGGACTCGACTAAATACGTATTTTAATAGCTGTTGGGAAAAATATTAAGTATAGACTTTGCCTGTGATCACAGTCAAAAATCTAACTACGTAGTAATAAATGGAACAAGCTCACCGGATTCTCCAGTCTTCTATTGATTAATTTCACACACTTAATCCATAGTGATACACTAAGATCTCAAACCCCTTCATCGAACCAGTCCCTCCTAGATCTATATCCTAGTTATTTTTTTATTTTATTGCGCAGTTCCTTAAAACACGACTCCCGCGCCATTTTTTTTTCTCCCTTTTTTTCTTTTTTTTTTTTTTTTTCTTTATTGCGCAATTCCTAAAAACCGACTCCCGCGCGCCCGCCGATCCGCCGTCTCTCCTTTTTTTTTTTATTTCTTTCTATTCTTTCTCTAATAACGTCATAGATTATGTCACCGAAGGGTAGATATTTCAATAATCAGATTTAGCCTATTATTCGAACTGAACTTTTCTTCAAATTTCATTTAATTATATGTTAACGTATTTTGGTATTTTCTATTAATTTTATTATCGAATTTATAAAACTTTAAAGGCTCTCATAAACCTTATTAAACTGTGTTGTATGCATCCTTTTTACACCTGATGATAAAAGGTAAACTATAATTTGGTTATATATAAAATATAATATATTTTTGTTTAATTTATTTAATTTTCTTGTGACATCTACTACACTTTGGAAACACATCAAAGGAGTTTCCCTTCTGTGTCAATATTTCATATATGGTAACGTCTTCTCTGTATACTATTGTGAACCTTGACTTTAAAGTTTGTTTATATTAAATAGCTCAGCTTTCGCAGCGGTCACCCATAGGAACCCCTGTTTCTTTTCTATGTACTTATGGTATTAAACCTATTGTACTATAGGTGAACCGTCACATCCGGCCCCCTAATTATCAAGGAGTTTACCGGATTGATAATTACAAATATTCTGTTGCGCTCCCCTCCTCTCTTGAATCTATTTCCCTATAGGCGAACCGTCACAAGCCTAAATAGAAAAC